AGTAGAGGTAAGTGGTGAGTGGTGAGTAGAGACACGTGGTGAGTGGTGAGTAGAGGTAAGTGGTGAGTGGTGAGTAGAGGCAAGTGGTGAGTGGTGAGTAGAGGCAAGTGGTGAGTAGAGGTAAGTGGTGAGTGGTGAGTAGAGGTAAGTGGTGAGTGGTGAGTAGAGGCAAGTGGTGAGTAAAGGTAATTGGTGAGTAGAGGTAAGTGGTGAGTGGTGAGTAGAGGTAAGTGGTGAGTGGTGAGTAGAAAAAAGTGGTGAGTGGTGAGTAGAGGCAAGTGCTGAGTAGAGGTATGTGGTGAGTGGTGAGTAGAGGCAAGTGGTGAGTAGAGGCAAGTGGTGAGTGGTGAGTAGAGGCAAGTGGTGAGTAGAGGTAAGTGGTGAGTGGTGAGTAGAGGTGAGTGGTGAGTAGAGGTAAGTGGTGAGTGGTGAGTAGAAAAAAGTGGTGAGTGGTGAGTAGAGGTAAGTGGTGAGTAGGTGCAAGGGGTGAGTGGTGAGTAGAGGTAAGTGGTGAGTGGTGAGTAGAGGCAAGTGATGAGTGGTGAGTAGAGGCAAGTAGTGATTGGTGAGTAGAAGTAAGTGGTGAGTAGAGGCACGTGGTGAGTGGTGAGTAGAGGTAAGTGGTAAGTGGTGAGTAGAGGTAAGTGGTGAGTGGTGAGTAGAGGCACGTGGTGAGTGGTGAGTAGAGGCAAGTGGTGAGTAGAGGTAAGTGGTGAGTGGTGAGTAGAGGCAAGTGGTGAGTAGAGGTAAGTGGTGAGTGGTGAGTAGAGGTAAGTGGTGAGTGGTGAGTAGAGGCAAGTGGTGAGTAGAGGTAAGTGGTGAGTGGTGAGTAGAGGTAAGTGGTGAGTGGTGAGTAGAGGTAAGTGGTGAGTAGAGGTAAGTGGTGAGTAGAGGCAAGTGGTGAGTAGAGGTAAGTGGTGAGTGGTTAGTAGAGGTAAGTGGTGAGTGGTGAGTAGAGGTAAGTGGTGAGTAGAGGCAAGTGGTGAGTGGTGAGTAGAGGCAAGTGGTGAGTAGAGGTAAGTGGTGAGTAGAGGTGAGTGGTGAGTAGAGGTGAGTGGTGAGTGGTGAGTAGAGGCAAGTGGTGAGTGGTGAGTAGAGGCAAGTGGTGAGTAGAGGTAAGTGGTGAGTGGTGAGTAGAGGTAAGTGGTGAGTGGTGAGTAGAGGTAAGTGGTGAGTAGAGGCAACTGGTGAGTAGAGGTAAGTGGTGAGTGGTGAGTAGAGGTAAGTGGTGAGTGGTGAGTAGAGGTAAGTGGTGAGTGGTGAGTAGAGGCAAGTGGTGAGTAGAGGTAAGTGGTGAGTGGTGAGTAGAGGCAAGTGGTGAGTAGAGGTAAGTGGTGAGTAGAGGTAAGTGGTGAGTGGTGAGTAGAGGCAAGTGGTGAGTGGTGATTAGAGGCAAGTGGTGAGTAGAGGCACGTGGTGAGTGGTGAGTAGAGGCAAGTGGTGAGTGGTGAGTAGAGGCAAGTGGTGAGTAGAGGTAAGTGGTGAGTGGTGAGTAGAAAAAAAGTGGTGAGTGGTGAGTAGAGGCAAGTGGTGAGTGGTGAGTAGAGGTAAGTGGTGAGTGGTGAGTAGAGGTATGCGGTGAGTAGAGGCAAGTGGTGAGTGGTGAGTAGAGGTAAGTGGTGAGTGGTGAGTAGAGGTATGCGGTGAGTAGAGGCAAGTGGTGAGTAGATGCAAGTGGTAAGTGGTGAGTAGAGGTGAGTGGTGAGTGGTGAGTAGAGGTATGTGGTGAGTAGAGGCTAGTGGTGAGTAGATGCAAGTGGTGAGTTGTGAGTAGATGCAAGTGGTTTGTGGTGAGTAGAGGTAAGTGGTGAGTGGTGAGTAGAGGCAAATGGTGAGTAGATGCAAGTGGTGAGTGGTGAGTAGAGGCAAGTGGTGACTGGTGAGTAGAGGCAAGTGGTGAGTAGATGCAAGTGGTGAGTGGTGAGTAGATGCAAGTGGTGAGTGGTGAGTAGATGTAAGTGGTGAGTGGTGAGTAGAGGTAAGTGGTGAGTGCTGAGTAGAGGCAAGTGGTGAGTGGTGAGTAGAGGTAAGTGGTGAGTGGTGAGTAGAGGCAAGTGGTGAGTGGTGAGTAGAGGCAAGTGGTGAGTGGTGAGTAGAGGCAAGTGGTGAGTAGAGGTAAGTGGTGAGTGGTGAGTAGAGGCAAGTGGTGAGTGGTGAGTAGAGGCAAGTGGTGAGTAGATGCAAGTGGTGAGTGGTGAGTAGAGGTAAGTGGTGAGTAGAGGCGATGGGTGAGTGGTGAGTAGATGCAAGTGGTGAGTGGTAAGTAGAGGTAAGTGGTGAGTAGAGGCAATGGGTGAGTGGTGAGTAGATGCAAGTGATGAGTGGTGAGTAGATGCAAGTGGTGAGTGGTGAGTAGAGGTAAGTGGTGAGTGGTGAGTAGAGGTAAGTTGTGAGTAGAGGCAATGGGTGAGTGGTGAGTAGATGCAAGTGGTGAGTGGTGAGTAGATGCAAGTGGTGAGTGATGAGTTGAGGTAAGTGATGAGTGGTGAGTAGAGGTAAGTGGTGAGTAGAGGCAAGTGGTGAGTTGAGACAAGTGGTGAGTGGTGAGTAGAGGTAAGTGGTGAGTAGAGGCAATGGGTGAGTGGTGAGTAGATGCAAGTGGTGAGTGGTGAGTAGAGGTAAGTGGTGAGTGGTGAGTAGAGGTAAGTGGTGAGTAGAGGCAAGTGGTGAGTGAGGAGTAGAGGCAATATGTGAGTAGAGGCAAATGGTGAGTGGTGAGTAGAGGCAAGTGGTGAGTGGTGAGTAGAGGCAAGTGGTGAGTGGTGAGTAGAGGTAAGTGGTAAGTGGTGAATAGAGGCAAGTGCTGAGTGGTGAGTAGAGGCTAGTGGTTACTAGAGACAAATAGTGAGTGGTGAGTAAATGAACGGCAAGTTCGGTGTGTTTCTCGATCAATAAATTTAAATAATGAGAACTGTTGTTAACAAAGCCTGGATAGAACAATGAATTATTCAAGCGTGTTGGTACAAACATCCATATGACTTTCACAACTGGTACACACCCCTGTAATTCACACAAGTGACTCACACATACATGTGACTCACACAACTGGTACACACATCCCTGTAATTCACACAAGTGACTCACACATTCATGTGACTCACACAACTGGTACACATACATCTGACTCACACAACTGGTACACACATCCCTGTTACTCACACAACTGGTACACATCCCTGTAATTCATACAACTGGTACACACATCCCTGTTACTCACACAACTGACTCACACATCCATGTGACTCACACAACTGGTACACACATCCCTGTTACTCACACAAGTGACTCACACATCCATGTGACTCACACAACTGGTACACACATCCCTGTTACTCACACAACTGACTCACACATCCATGTGACTCACACAACTGGTACACACATCCCTGTTACTCACACAAGTGACTCACACATATGGTACACACATCCCTGTTACTCACACAAGTGACTCACACATCCATATGACTCTTACAACTGGTACACACATCCCTGTAATTCACACAACTGACTCACACATCCCTGTTACTCACACAACTGGTACACACATCCCTGTAATTCACACAACTGACTCACACATCCATATGACTCACACAACTGACTCACACATCCATATGACTCACACAACTGACTCACACATCCATATGACTCACACAACTGACTCACACATCCCTGTTACTCACACAACTGGTACACACATCCCTGTTACTCACACAACTGGTACACACATACATCTGACTCACACAACTGACTCGCACATTCATGTGACTCACACAACTGGTACACACATACATCTGACTCACACAACTGACTCGCACATCCATGTGACTCACACAACTGGTACACACATACATCTGACTCACACAACTGACTCACACATCCATGTGACTCACACAACTGGTACACATACATCTGACTCACACAACTGACTCACACATCCATATGACTCACACAACTGGTACACATACATCTGACTCACACAACTGACTCACACATCCATATGACTCACACAACTGACTCACACATCCCTGTTACTCACACAACTGGTACACACATCCCTGTTACTCACACAACTGGTACACACATACATCTGACTCACACAACTGACTCGCACATCCATGTGACTCACACAACTGGTACACACATACATCTGACTCACACAACTGACTCGCACATCCATGTGACTCACACAACTGGTACACACATACATCTGACTCACACAACTGACTCACACATCCATGTGACTCACACAACTGGTACACATACATCTGACTCACACAACTGACTCACACATCCATGTGACTCACACAACTGGTACACATACATCTGACTCACACAACTGGTACACACTTCCATGTGACTCACACAACTGGTACACACATCCCTGTAATTTACACAACTGACTCACACATACATCTGACTCACTAAACTGACTCACATATCCATGTCACTTTAATGACTCAGAAGCTGGTATGTAATAATATGTAAGAGCTTGGATTTTTTGGTATGATTATACGTTGATTTTTTTTTTTACATTAAGATTATGGTTGTATATTTCATTCTACAAGTTTATGATTATATTTCTTACCCAGCATCAAGGTTATGGCTACATGGTTAGCCTACATTAAGTACTTGGTTAAATGTTAGCTTACGTTAAGTACTTGGTTAAATGTTAGCCTACATTAAGTACTTGGTTAAATTTTAGCCTACATTAAGTACTTGGTTAAATGTTAGCCTACATTAAGTACTTGGTTAAATGTTAGCCTAAATAATTACTTGGTTAAATGCTAGCCTACATTGAATACTTTAAATACTTTTTTATTGATAAAAAAATTTAATAAAACATTATCAAGGTTCGCTCGTGCATCAGTCCGTATTTATAATGCATGAACGAATATTATTTATGTGTTTTGATTTGGGAATGGTTAAGCTGTAAATGATACATTGAGTAAGGCTGTAAAGGCGTAGGCCAGTTTATTGCTAGGGTTTCAGATAGTATTCACCTCTAGTTGCGATAAGCTGGCGTCCATTTTGTCGATGAAAGGTATCCTTGCTATGAGCTTGACCACTTTAGCGTCTTTAGCTTTTTCCTTGCTCTCCTCTTCAAACTGCTTCAACGCGTCTTTGATGGCCATCCCCTTAGACATTTTCTGCTGTGGATGCTGCCTGTCTGATCAATGAAGCAAGATAAGATGCTAGATATATGTTCTAGCTAAGTTTGGTCTTTTAGCTTTCGTTTTCATATAAGTTTACAAAAGTGGTGCTATTTGGTGCGTCACAAATGATTGGGAATTGCGAGCTTCTAATTTTCTACTAAAGGATGTGATGCTTAGAGGGCAAGTCAAGTTTTTTTACTAGCTTTTATTTAATTAGCCGTTGGTAATTTGTGCTATTTACTCATCAGTTCGTGTTTGCTATTTGTTGTTGTTTTTACTGCGTGAGACGTTTTGATTAAACGAAATTGTATTATTTTTCTAATTAGTAATATCTTAAGTGTAGCAAAGCTTTTTATGAATTCTTTGTGAAAAAAATCAAAGCTATTTTATTATAAATTAACAAAGCCTAGACTGTTTTATGGTCTGAAATAATTTAGCTTAAAAAAACAGTAACTAAATCTGACGGCACAAATTAGGATAATATACAAAGCGAGCGTAAGCGTTCTTGTATCCTTGGATATTTTGTTTTCTAAGGGTTTCTCATGAGTATTTTTCTCCGACTTACTTACTTTATATTACTTACTTTCTTACATTATATTACTTACGTTTTACAATATATTTTACTTTCTTACATTATATTACTTACTTTCTTACATTATATTACTTACTTTCTTACATTTTGTTACTTTCTTACATTATATTACTTACTTTCTTACATTATATTAATTACTTTCTTACATTATATTACTTACTTTCTTACATTATATTACTTACTTTCTTACATTATATTACTTACTTTCTTACATTATATTAATTACTTTCTTACATTATATTACTTACTTTCTTACATTATATTACTTACTTTCTTACATTATATTACTTACTTTCTTACATTATATTAGTCGGATGGTAGAGCTTACAACTGCTAACCAGAAATTTCTGTAGGACTTCCCTGAGTATACTCAGCTCTGATGGGTACCAGGCGCACGTTAAGAAAACCAAGGCGGGTATAGTGCTGACCACACTATTCCCCCTGTATGCCGTGGACGTTGAAAATGGTTAACTCTACTTAATCTGCCTCATATGTCTTGGGTGCGAACGGGAAAAGACTTATTTTAAAATTCTATGCTTGTTTGAGAAATATATTATATAATAGTTATTGATAAAAACGAAAAGTGCTTTACTCCGTGTTGGAAGATATTTGTGACAAAATATGGAAGGAACTTAAAAGCTAAAAGTCATTGTGTTCTGATATAGATCAAAGTTACTATATTAGGTAAAAAAATAAAATTTAGTATTGTTATAAATAAAATCATTTCCCAATTTTACTTACTCCATTGTCAAGTGACAGAGATTAATATAACTGATTTAGTTTTCTGAAATAACTGAATTTTAAAAAATACTCAGTAACTTTGTGAAATCGTACCATAATGGCAATCAAGCGAAAGATGAAATTTCCGACACATTTAATATAACATGCGCTGCCCATTCCAATTAGAAAAATTAAATGCCCAAACTGCCCAAAGTGTCATAAATAATTCCGCTAAAAAATCATAAAAAACGTTTTAATAACAAGCTTTTTATGTAATAATGCACTAAAAAGTAGAAAATAAATTATAGACTACTATTTAAATAACTGTAAAGAAAAGCGTAGGTGTCTTCCTTAACATTACTAAAGATATCCAATAGATACTAAAATAGTTATTTAAATAGTAGTCTATAATTTATTTTCTACTTTTTAGTGCATTATTACATAAAAGCTTGTTATTAAAACGTTTTTTATGAATTTTTTTTCAGTACTTTACATGTTTTATTTACAATAGCCTTACATGACTGAAAACCATTGCTCGCCTACTGAACGTGATGGCGCAGCCATTGAACGTGATGGCGAAGCTATTGAACGTGATGACGCGTGTGGTGTGGTTGGATAGACATGCTTATTAATTCGGTCCAAATTTTAAATAATTCATAAAAAAATAATTAGGCATCCAACTAAGTCAAATTTAATTTCAGATTGTATTGTCTTCATGTCTTGACCCACGTGCCAAATGTGAATTGTATCGGTCAAGTAGAAGTGTCCGAATTTTCACTCCGGCGTTTCGATCTAGACAGACAGACAGACAGAGGAAGTGAGTTAAATAAAAGCTTGTAAAAAAATTCATAAAAAAAAACATGAAAAAATTCATTAAAAAAACGTTTTAATAACAAGCTTTTATGTAATAGTGCTCTAAAAAGTATAAAATAAATTATAGACTACTATTTAAATAACTAGAAAGAAAAGCGTGGGTCACTTTAGTATCTATTGGATACCTTTACTAATGTTAAGGAAGACACCCACGCTTTTCTTTCAAGTTATTTAAATAGTAGCCTATAATTTATTTTCTACTTTTTAGTGCACTATTACATAAAAGCTTGTTATTAAAACGTTTTTTTATGAATTTTTTTCCAGTACTTTACATGTTTTATTTACAAGAGTTATATGACTAAAAATCATTGCGCGCCTACTGAACTTGATGTCGCAGCCATTGAACGTGATGGCGCAGCTATTGGAAGTGATGACGCGTGTGGTGTGGTTGGATAGACATGCCCACTAATTCGGTCCAATTTTAATTAATTCATAAAAATTAATTAGGCATCCAATTAAGTCAAATTTAATTTCATATTGCATTGTCTTCATGTCTTGACCCACGTGCCAAGTGTGAACCATATCGGTCAAGTAGAAGTGTCCTGATTTTCGCTCCGGCGTTTCGATCTAGACAGACAGACAGACAGACAGAGGAAGCGAGTTAAATAAAAGCTTGTAAAAACCTGGTCATTTATTGGTATTTCTGTTATTTTCTAAACAATTTTTTACTTATTATTGGCCGATAAAACTGTGATATTATCCTAGACGTCAGCCTTGACAAGTCTAAACAAAATATGAATGTAACAGTTTATTTCTTCATATTCTCAAATTGGAAGATGTGTGGAGCGTATCTTATAAAAAAATGTATAGTATTGTTGGCAACTCATTGAAAAAAAACAACCAATGGCATTTATTGTTAAGCTATAGGCGACACAATAATACGTTAGAAAGTAGTAAACTTTTCAATTGAACACCCTAGTAGTGCTGTAATGTTGGGGGGAAATACATTACTTCTCAGGTTGCATAACTACATGACGTGTGTTATTACACTGTTCATTTGGTACGCATATCTCTAGGCGATTACACTCTGTTAAAAACACTTCTCTTTTTCTCTCTCTCTCTATCTCCCCCCCCCCCCCCCCCCCGCAACATTTTTGAGGCTATGTGATCAGTATGTTCAGCGATATATGGAGAACTTAAAAAATACGGAATTTTTTTGAAAATAATAGATTGGATGTTTTAAATGTATAAACTAAATTTTATTTAAAGAAAGAAAAGTAATATAAAGGCACATTCGAATGTAGAAACACATTTTTAATTATGCAACTGGAAAAGTGTTTATTGTTGTGACAAGAGCGCTAAAAACACTGACGTCAAACAGAAAGTACACAAAACTGATGGCGCCATCTTCCAATTTTAGAATATGAAGAAATGAACTATTTCATTAAAATTTGATTTAGATCTATAGATCTACTTATGAAGACGTACGCTATGAAATGTCTCCAATTTTCTACGCAAAAATTAATACAAATTACTTTAAAAAAAAAACATAAATACCATTGAACAGCCGGGTTTTTAACAGAATCATTTAAGTCTCTTAATCAGTTTGTACATTTAACATGGTTTTGTGTTGACTAATAAGGTATTTAATTTGGTTTTTCTAATAGTTATTGGTACCCTTTGTTATTTTAAATGTTTCGGTTTTTATCTTATTTGTTATTTCTTTGCTTTGTCACTAATATTGTTCAACGTGTAGTAAAGCACATTGCGTTTTAACCAATAACTATTTTATAAAATATTTTTCTCAAACAAGTATAACATTAAAATATATAGGCTTTAATTCACATGCAACGGGTACCCTAACCCTAGGGGAGATGACTCACGTTTTATTATTATTTTGTCTTCTGTCTTTTTAAGTCGTGACGGGTCTAAACTTGCGAGAGAAATGTCAACCATTTCTAAGAGTCGATTTCCTAACCCTAACCCTAACCCTAACCATCAGATAATTATGTTTTAATTTTTAAGTATATGAAAGATAAAATACTTTACATATGTTTTGATTTTTTTTAATATATGAAAGATAAAATACTTTATATTTCGTGCCATAAGACGAAGTTGGTGCTTATTTGTTACGAATGCATTTTTTCTATGTGTTGGGGTTTATCCGCATATACATAAACTGTGTGTGTACATATACATAAGCGTATGTGTGTACATATACACTAGCTGTGCGTTTAATTGTGAGTATAGTTATTTAACGGGTTTGCCAGTCAAATTGTGAATGTTTGTGTGTATGTTTGTAGGTGTGTGCGTTAGAGAGAGAGAGAGAGAGAGAGGGAGAGAGAGAGAGAGGTCACAGCAGGAACATTTCCACATCGCAACCACTAGAGAGACCAGTTACTTTGTGAGTAGGGTCAGGTACTAGCACGCGAGGAGGAGTTTATGCATCTAATTATCTAACGATGGCGACAGATGCTACCACCTGTGGCAGGTGTCAATGTTTTGTGCATCAACGCCATTTACAATGTAGCGGCTAGATGTAGTTATAAATCGACATCGGCATTAGTTTACTCAAATTCATGTAGGTGGATTGTTTTTTCATTCGTTGGGAATCTAAAGTCCATTAAAGTCTGAAGAAAGCAGCTTTAATGAATGAATTTTCTCAAACAATTTTTTATAGCAATTGATGGATTAACTAAAGATATTGTGACATAAATAGGGTTTAAATCATTACTATTATTTAAATAACTCTAAAGAAAAGCGTGGGTATCTTCCTATATAAATATTAGTAAAGGTATCCAATAAATAATTTAGTAACCCACGCTTTTCTTTATAGTTAATTAAATACTAGTGTCTTATTACACATTTAAAGAATCATTTATTCTCTCTTTTATAGTGCATTATTACATTTTTATTACATTGTGTTGTGTTGACTAAGAACATAATTTGGTTTTAATTTTTCTCTTAGGTATTGGTAGTCTATGTTATTTTAAAAATTAAATGTGTACGTTTTTAGATTTGTTACTAATATCGTTCAATTTGTAGTAAAACACATTGCGTTTTGACCGATTACTATTTGATGAAATATTTTTCTCAAACGAGTAAAACATTTTTAAAATATACTAAACTTACCCATCATCCCTTGGATGACTGTGGGTTTGGGGGTCATCCATAAATGACATCATGTCTGTCACTTATCATCACAAAATAACCAGACCCCACATTCAAAAAGACGTTTTTTATCTTTTAAAAACACCGATATCGGCTGAGCTTGGGTTTGACCACACTATCCCTTCATATACTGACGTCACATGTGACCTGTTAAAAGTTCTATTAATTTTAATGACACCGACTTTAAAATTTAGTCTTCATTCTCCAAAGCAAATTTTTAAAATGCTTTTCTGGCATATCTAGCCGTGGCCACATATAGCATGTTTATATAACACGAAAACCCGCCATTTTGCTCGTGGTAAACATTTTTAATAGTAATTCTAAGAAGGTCTCTGGAATTTGGCCTAAAAATTGTCGGAAGTCATGCGTCCGGTCCGGACGTCAAATTGTTGTTAGCAACTGACCACGCCTCCAAGTTAGCGAGTGATCCTACTATATCTAGATCTAGAACCTAGATAGACAACTCCCATGCATTCTCGAATTAGATGATCATTGAAGCTAAACAAAGATTTATATAAAATAATTAAGGCCTGAAATAGATTCTAGATGTAGAATTTACATTAAGTCTAGTGACCTAGATCTAGATCTAGATTCTAGATTCATAACTTTTTCTGGTAATCTATCGTTTTGGGTACGTAAAATCGCCCGCGATTTGTAATGTGAAAAACAGGTGACTCCTTAAATTTTAATAATTATTTCACATTTTGATGAGGATTTAAGTTTTAAAAAATTCAAAAATGTTTCCTTGATTCATTTATGTACATGTTTTTAAACAATTGAATTAAAACTTTTCCGTAATTAATGAAGACTAGCGATGTTTCCAACAGATGCAACAATGCTCATTTACTACAGCAGCCATCTTGTCTAAGTTTTATTTTCATAAGCTTTTAGCGCCAGATTCAGGGGGAAGCCATTCTATTTTACAAATGGCTGCTGTTTATATAGCAAATCTTGCTCTCAGACACTGCTGTTTAAAATTAATTTCTGGCCTATATCGATATATTTAGCCATTGATTTAGGTTTATTATTCATTTATCTATAATATTTGACACAAACATATGACAATATAATTCTATTAAAGCCTTGACAATGAGGTAACGTTTTCGTACATAAATAGCCGCGGGCGATTTTACGTACCCAAAACGATAGATTACCCTTTTTCTTCCTTCGACAGCTGATCTGTAGATCTAGAGAAATTTATTGTATAATAAAATAAAAAGAACTGTTAAAACATTGATAATAGTGTTGAAATGTAAAAAAAACAACAGCAAACGGACGTATTGTTAAAGTTATAGCCAACAGGAAATAAGCTTTAGAACGCGTTAAACATTGGAATGGGAACACACTCTTCGATGGAGGCCGCCATTGTTGACGTAAAAAGTAAACAAATCATGTGACGTCACTATTCACTCAAAGTAAAGCCATCTTTCTAAACTTTTATAATTAATGTGGTTAATCTACCAATGAATAAATCAATTAATTAATTAACGCCTTTAAATAAATTTGTGATTAAAAGTTTGTCTGAAAACAAAAATTGTTCTCTACCTACATACTATTTTACAGCTCTACACATAGTGCAGATTCTCTCCTGTAGTCCTCTATCCAATAGATTTTGAGATTTGCTCAGGGGAATTCACTCCCATTTTATTTAGAATAGTTTAAGACGTCTCATTCAGAGCTGGTAAGTATGCTTTGGAGATCAATAAAAATATCCAGCTAGCCATTGATTTGACGGTCTTATATTTGAACTTACAACAGATGTATCTGTGGCTCTGATGTTTGAAGTAAATACAATTCTGTCTACACAGATTCGTGGGTTTTATTACAGTTTAAATCATTTGATTTTAAAAAAAAAGTTTTCGTTTTTTTTTTGTGATCACTTGTGTTTAACAAACGTCGAGATATTAACATTCTCATTTAACTTTTAGACAAGAGAGAGACATGAGTGAGACAATACCATACAAAGATAGCAATACTGAAAGTATTAGTTTTAAATGTGATTCTTCTGGAATTTTCCACAGTCAGGAGAAACCAGAAATCGGCAGGAAATTTTCGGCCAGTGGTCAGCGTCAACAGGGGCAGGTAGCTATCCTTGCGACGGATAGTGTCCATGAGAGGGACATCAGTGCCCATGAGAGGGACATCAGTGCCCATGAGAGGGACATAAGTGCCCATGAGAGGGACATCAGTGCCCAGGACAGTCAATCAAAAAACTATTATTTCGCCCTATTTCTTGGCTACAAAGCTCCCGAATCCCAGATTTTATTTGACAATACAAGCAGTTCTCGCGTGGGCAGTTCGTTTGGAGGACTAATATTTAAGCGATGTTCTTCAAGTTTTTCCAGACAAGTTCCACGAAAATTTTTAAGAACTTGTAGTGACCAAAACTGTCCAAGAAAATCACTAGGTACTACATGTGAACCAAGTTCTCAAGAGCTTTTAGATACTGTCAATAAACACAAGAAATTCATTGAATCATTCAAGCTTTTGGACTATGTGCACAATATTTCATACCTCACACAACACTTGAAACAGAGTCTGAATGTTACTGGATGTTCCAACCCTTCTTATGAGAGCCTACAGGAATCCTTTAAAATTAGCCTGAGCAAACATCGCTTAGATCAATCAGAAGCTATGGACCGAATTCGAAGACAGTCTAGTTTGCCGCCTCAGCCACTGAGTCAGATTTTACGAAGCGATGAGCCCAGAAAGCCCGCCGTTAGGACAGAACGCAAACTCTCCCCTATAAAAAAACAGACGACGCTTTCAGAGACAGGGAATCGTGGGCTCGTCAAGGTTCGAAAAACAGCAGGGAACCACGAGGATGTCTATGGGAACATGGAAAAAGAACAAGGTGCAGAAAAGGCAACAGCGCAGATGTTCCATATCAAGTTCTCGGAAAACAATCTCTCGCGACAGAAAACCACTGACAGATCTCTACCTTCTCCAACGGGCGATAATTCGGCGAGTTCACACGCGTCTTCCGATGTCAGTTGTAAGAGGTTCCATCTGCGTCACAGCACCCGTCAAGAGTCGACTGATCAGGATTTAGGCAACGCTCATTATGTAACGCCACTAAAACGAAGCCAACTAGAAGTCAAAGAACTCAGAAGCGAGGTTAGTTTGTTGATTCATTTAATAGCCGTCCTAAATAAACAATACAAGTCAATTTGAAAGAAGTATATCAAGTCGAGCATCCATCCCCCTCTACCCAATCCATCTCAACTCAATGATTTCCACCCAACCTCACACACAAACCTCTCTCCCTCGTCCTCAACCCACATTTTTTAAACTGTCATCCCCGTCCCCAGCCATTTCACTACCAGCCTACCCTCAATCTAGATCGCAATTGTAACAGATATTCTAATGGCTAACTATCACGTTAAAACATCTTTTACTTGCTACAACATCACGTAAAATATCTAAATATTTGTACCATCATGTAAAATACCTAAATATTTGTACCATCACGTAAAATATCTAAATATTTGTACAATCACGTAAAATATCTAAATATTTGTACCATCACGTAAAATACTTAAATATTTGTACCATCATGTAAAATATCTAAATATTTGTACCATCACGTAAAATATCTAAATGTTTGTACCATCACGTAAAATATCTAAATATTTGTACCATCATGTAAAATACCTAAATATTTGTACCATCACGTAAAATATCTAAATATTTGTACAATCACGTAAAATATCTAAATATTTGTACCATCACGTAAAATACTTAAATATTTGTACCATCAGGTAAAATATCTAAATCTTTGTACCATCTCGTAAAATATATAAATCTTTGTGCCCTCACTTAAAATATCTAAATCTTTGTGCTATCACATAAAATATCTAAATATGTGTACCATCACGTAAAATATCTAAATCTTTGTACCATCATGTAAAATATCTAAATCTTTGTGTTATCAGATAAAATATCTTTATCGTTGTGGCCTCACCTAAAATATCTAAATCTTTGTGCCCTCACCTAAAATATCTAAATCTTTGTGCTCTCACATAAAATATCTAAATCTTTGTGCCCTCACCTAAAATATCTAAATCTTTGTGCCCTTAAATAAAATATCTAAATCTTTGTGCCCTCACATAAAATATCTAAATCTTTGTGCTCTCACATAAAATATCTAAATCTTTGTACTATCACGTAAAATATTTAAATCTTTGTGCCCTCACCTAAAATATTTAAATCTTTGTGCTCTTACATAAAATATCTAAATCTTTGTACCATCACATAAAATATCTAAATATTTGTACCATCACGTTAAATATCTGAATCTGTAATCCATCAAGTTCTGACATCTGACTCTGTTTAATTTATGTGGTATCTGTTACACATGTTTATTTTGTTATAGGTCGCCCAGCTGTTACAGGAAATCGAAGAAAAAAAAGCCGAGGTAGTGTCCCTTACCAGTAGCCTCGAGAATGAGAAAGTAAAATCTGTAGCTGAGCGAGATAAAGAAATTGAAGAATTGAAAAGGATTTTAAACTTAATCGAACGACAGAGGGATGATTGCACGAAAGAAATCAATGCGCTTAAAGAAGAGCTCAGAAAAATGGATAAAAGATATTCGGATTTAAAAGTTAGTATCTTAGCCAGTCGGTTGGTGGGTCCGTGTGTTTGTCTGTCTGTCTGTCTGTCTGTCCGTCAAGTTCTTTAATTGACAAAGCACGTAAATACTTTATTAAATACCAAAACTGATTTATTGACCTTTAAAAAATTCATTCATAAACACGGTGATTTGTTTGTATGGCTTTTTACTTTCTCGTATATACGTAGTATAGAGAAAGTATTGTAATCGTGCAAAAAAAAATCGAGATTTTTACAAATCTCGACGTTTTACACCTCACTGATACGGAAAAACATAATTTTGCAATCTTGTCCGTATGTCTGTGTGTGTGTGTGTCTGTGTGTCTGTGAGTCCGTGTGTAAACACGATAACTTGAGTACCGTTACAGCTAGGTTGATGAAATTTCATATATAAGTATTTTATCAAAATCGTAGATCCGTATCAACTTTTGAGCGATTTCCGATAACCGGAAGTGGTACTTTTTCTACTTTGAATTTTTCAAAAGCCTATAACTTGAGTACTATTTCAGATAGATAAATGAAATTCGATATGTAAATAAAAGATCTTATTCTCTACCTTCTATCAAATTTTGAGTAATTTCCGTTGACGGGAAGTACTAATTTACGCTATTTCCGATTTCTCAAAAAACGCATGTGAATTTATAAAGTACTAATAATATTGCGCACTATTACGCACATTTGGTTTTGGTGCTCGCTTGGTGCGCAATTTTTTTTCTACTAGATTTTATTCTATTTTTAAAAGTTTAAGTAAACAAAAATCATGTCTATATTCCGAGTTGACATCCCACGTAGTGTTATATTAGAATATTCGAGAAAGTTTAGGGGAGATCACTCCCGGTTTATTTTGTGTGTCTTTTTTTTTACTTTCTCGTATATACGTAGTATAGAGAAAGTATTGTAATCGTGCAAAAAAAAATCGAGATTTTTACAAATCTCGACGTTTTACACCTCACTGATACGGAAAAACATAATTTTGCAATCTTGTCCCTATGTCTGTGTGTCTGTGTGTGTGTGTGTGTGTGTGTGTGTAAACACGATAACTTGAGTACCGTTACAGCTAGGTTGATGAAATTTCATATATACGTATTTTATCAAAATCGTAGATCCGTATCAACTTTTGAGCGATTTCCGATAACCGGAAGTGGTACTTTTTCTACTTTGAATTTTTCAAAAGCCTATAACTTGAGTACTATTTCAGATAGATAAATGAAATTCGATATGCAAATAAAAGATCTTATTCTCTACCTTCTATCAAATTTTGAGTAATTTCCGTTGACGGGAAGTACTAATTTACGCTATTTCCGATTTCTCAAAAAACGCATGTGAATTTATAAAGTACTAATAATATTGCGCACTATTACGCACATTTGGTTTTGGTGCTCGCTTGGTGCGCATTTTTTTTTCTACTAGATTTTATTCTATTTTAAAAAGTTTAAGTAAACAAAAATCATGTCTATATGCCGAGTTGACATCCCACGTAGTGTTATATTAGAATATTCGAGAAAGTTTAGGGGAGATCACTCCCGGTTTATTTTGTGTGTCTTTTTTTTTACTTTCTCGTATATACGTAGTATAGAGAAAGTATTGTAATCAAAATCGAGATTTTTACAAATCTCGACGTTTTACACCTCACTGATACGGAAAAACATAATTTTGCAATCTTGTCCCTATGTCTCTGTGTGTGTGTGTGTGTGTGTGTGTGTGTGTGTGTGTGTAAACACGATAACTTGAGTACCGTTACAGCTAGGTTGATGAAATTTCATATATAAGTATTTTATCAAAATCGTAGATCCGTATCAACTTTTGAGCGATTTCCGATAACCGGAAGTGGTACTTTTTCTATTTTGAATTTTTCAAAAGCCTAAAACTTGAGTACTATTTCAGATAGATAAATGAAATTTCACCTGTAAGTAAAAGATCTAATTCTCTACCTTCTGTTAAATTTTGAGTAATTTCCGTTGACGGGAAGTACTAATTTACGCTATTTCCGATTTCTCAAAAACGCATCTAAATTTATAAAGTACTAATAATATTGCGCACCATTATGAACATCTTTATTCGGCGTTCGCTTGGTGCGCAATACTTTTTTCTATGAGATTCTATTCTATTTTAAAAAGTTTAAGTATTTAAAATGGATTAAAAATCATAACTAGATCTATATCCCGAGTTCCCATCCCCTGTTGATTTATATAAGAATATTCGAGAAAGTTTAGGGGAGATCACTCCTGGTTTATTTTCTAATGAAAAAGCACTTTTGTATGGTCCGTCCCTAGCAGTCTGCTGCACTGTACAATACAAACCTATATCCTAATATGCTCACCTCACACTTTATAAAGCCTTTTAACCCCAAATGAATTCCTGTTCCTAGACCCAAACTACCGCCCTGTCCCCTCACGACATCCATTTACAAAGTCCATGTGGGAAAAGAGGGAGAAGGGGGGATCATAAGGAACTCGGGTTTTGTGGACGCTTGCACATCATTTTTTTAAAATATCGTATACTATTACGAAACAAAAATCTATTTTAACGAACAAAACACCATATTACTGTATTGCCATAAGAAAATTCAGTAAATTATGTTGTTGTTGTTTTTTATGAAATATTGTTGTTTTTTTTCAGCCAACAAAAACCAAATATCCCTTAATGCTCTGTGCCAAAGCCGGTACATAAAATAATGAATATAAACATTATTTCTTCATATTCTCCAATTGGGAGATCAGTAACACATGTCCAATAGAAAATTATCGTAGTAGAAATCACTAAATCATTTACGAAATTAGGTTCTGAATGAAATTTTTACTTAAACAATGTGTTATTATAACGCTTTTGTCAAGTTTAAAGCATAAGTCGAAGGAAATTTCGTTCCGTAAATTTTTAGTGACACAAACATATATTGGTATTTATAAGTACCGTCAGAAATGTAGGACAATATTTTCCAAAAAAAAAATAATTACAAAACAGGAACAAACGATACAATTTATTAACTAATAACATGGCAATCATTATAACAATAGTTTTTTTTTTGTAATTTTCACACATATACAGCACAAAAGTATATTTTGAGTACGATTTTTACTGGATTTTCTATCGGAACACATCTTAGACCTCAAACACAGCAAAAGTTGTCCACATGTCATGCTCCCCCATTCTTGTCTGTGGTCTTTCTGGTGTAGCAACGGTTGGGTTAGGGCTAACCCTAACCCTACACATACACACGCGCACACACACACACACACACACACACAGACATACGGACAAGATTGCAAAACTATGTTTTTCCGACTCAGGGAGGTGTAAAACGTCGAGATTTGTAAAAATCTCTATTTTTTTTTTTGCACGATTACAATACTTTCACTATACTTCGTACATACGAGAAAGTAAAAACATATTATGTTTGAATACAATACATACGAGAAAGTAAAAATATATTATGTTTGAATACAATACATACGAGAAAGTAAAAACATATTATGTTTGAATACAATACATACGAGAAAGTAAAAACATATTATGTTTGAATACAATACATACGAGAAAGTAAAAACATATTATGTTTGAATACAATACATACGAGAAAGTAAAAACATATTATGTTTGAATACAATACATACGAGAAAGTAAAAACATATTATGTTTGAATACAATACATACGAGAAAGTAAAAACATATTATGTTTGAATACAATACATACGAGAAAGTAAAAACATATTATGTTTGAATACAATACATACGAGAAAGTAAAAACATATTATGTTTGAATACAATACATACGAGAAAGTAAAAACATATTATGTTTGAATACAATACATACGAGAAAGTAAAAACATATTATGTTTGAATACAATACATACGAGAAAGTAAAAACATATTATGTTTGAATACAATACATACGAGAAAGTAAAAACATATTATGTTTGAATACAATACATACGAGAAAGTAAAAACATATTATGTTTGAATACAATACATACGAGAAAGTAAAAACATATTATGTTTGAATACAATACATACGAGAAAGTAAAAACATATTATGTTTGAATACAATACATACGAGAAAGTAAAAACATATTATGTTTGAATACAATACATACGAGAAAGTAAAAACATATTATGTTTGAATACAATACATACGAGAAAGTAAAAACATATTATGTTTGAATACAATACATACGAGAAAGTAAAAACATATTATGTTTGAATACAATACATACGAGAAAGTAAAAACATTTTATGTTTGAATACAATACATACGAGAAAGTAAAAACATATTATGTTTGAATACAATACATACGAGAAAGTAAAAACATATTATGTTTGAATACAATACATACGAGAAAGTAAAAACATATTATGTTTGAATACAATACATACGAGAAAGTAAAAACATATTATGTTTGAATACAATACATACGAGAAAGTAAAAACATATTATGTTTTAATACAATTTCAGAATATTTTAAGAATCAGTGATATAACACGATGAACCCGAAAATATTTGTTTTTACATTTAGGGCTACATTTCTATTTTTTTAATAAAGCCTAAATTATAACTTGAAGTTTCACTTTTGTAAGACAGGTAGGCCTATTGATTGACTGTACAGAACCTCTTAAATCGATCTTTTAAAAACACTACTTTCTAGAAATTTAAACGCAAAACTTTGCTAAAAACATTTCAAAATAAAGGTATACTTTTTAAAACCATATTATGGCCTAGTTATGCCTTGTTTATATTAATTTGCAATGACAAAATGTAAACAACCAAATTGTTTTTGGCGTTTTATAAAATGGTGTTTAGTTACCGAAAACACTAAAAACATCAAATATATGCAATCTTTATAAATTGCAACAAAAACCTGTAAGATTTTTTAAACCATATACTTTAATGAAATCTAATATTGACATGATTTAAAAATAAGTTATGTGCCTTTCGAATAATTTTGAGATTATTCTCGGTTGGGTCCGGGGCTAATTAGATGTGTCATTATCTTTTAAAAATTAATAAATTTTTCCTTTATAAGTACTAATTTTCCGTTCTATAATATTCACATTATTAGAATTCATTTGACGTGAAATTCTTTTTACTTTCTCGTATATATACGAATTATAGAGAAAGTCTTTTAATCGTGCAAAAAAAAAAATCGAGATTTTTGCAAATCTAAACGTTTTACAGCTCCCAGTGTCGGAAAAACATAGTTTTGCAATGTTGTCCGTATGTCTGTGTGTGTATGTGTGTGTGTAAACACAATAACTTGAGTACCGTTACAGCTAGGTTGATTAAACTTCATATATAAATATTATATCAAAATCGTAGATCCGCATCAACTTTTGAGCGATTTCCGATAACCGGAAGTGGTACTTTTTCTACTTTGAATTTTTCAAAAGCCTAAAACTTAAGTACTATTTCAGATAGATAAATTAAATTTAATAAGTTAGTAAAAGATCTAATTCTCTACCTTTTGTAAAATTTTGAGTAATTTCCGTTGACCGGAAGTAGTAATTTACGCTATTTCCGATTTCTCAAAAAAACACATGTGAATTTATAGTGTACTAATAATATTCCGCACTATTATGCACTTTTTATTTGGCAATCACTTGGTGTTTAATTCTTTTTTTCTACGAGATTTTATAATATATTTTTAAAAGTTTAAGTAGTTACAATGGATTAAAAATCATAACTATATCCCGAGTTCCCATCCCCTGTTGTTTTATATAAGAATATTCGAGAAAGTTTAGGGGAAATCACTCCCGGTTTATTTTTTCCGCCGCCATGAAAGAAAACTTAAATATCCATGACAACAAGAATTGATGAAGAATTCTCGTAAGCTCTTTGATGTCCATTAAGTCACTTTCTGTCACACTGCATTGTCATCGAGTCTTGGTCTGCGTTCTAGTTTAAAAATATTGACCCGGTAGAACTGGTCAAATTTTTCCCAGGACGGAAAATAGAAAGTGGAATCAAGATAGATAAGGTTTTTTTATAAATCGGAAATAGCGTAAAGTACTACTTAATGACATCGGAAATCACTCAAAATAGAAAATAGTAAATAATATTTTGTTACTAGATCTACTTGTGAACATTTCATCCACCTAACTGAAATGGTATTCGTGTTAACATTTTTAGAATTATTTTAGAAACCAGATATAAAGTAAAGTTGGCCTACCACTTTTGGATATCGCAATGCACTCGGAAATTGCAAGTAATCCTAATATTTGATCTTATACTTATGCACGAAATTTCGTTTACCGAAATGAAATAGTACCCTGGTTATCGTGTTCATATGGAAATAGTGCAATGTATTATTTCCGTTTACCGGACATCGTTCAAAATTTCACATAAATTTGCATGTAAATTAGAAACAAAAACATAATTATCAAAACCTTAACAAGACCTGTATACATTAATTTATTAACAAATTAATGTTAACAAGACTTAATGAGAAATGCTAGTGACAGACTCGACCAGAACGTTTAGAAAGAAATTATTTGCTAAACAAAGCTAGACAAAAGCAGTTATTGAAAAAAATAATTTACCAAACTTCTAGTTATATGTCTTTAACTCATTATTATTTACACTATCAATATTTACGTTTCTTTTTACTATGTACCGCAATCTCCTTTAATACAACTGACGATACTTTCTAACCGTCTGATCAAATGTAAATATTTCAGTTGGAGTTTACCAAGAATGAAGAAAAGTTTGAAATCTACCTCTTGGACATGTACAACAAGGGCCTAGAGGCGGCGCGGTTTGAACGGGAGGAGGAGGTGTGTCATCATAACTAAATCTATAAGCTTCACGGCGTTTGTTAATTTATCAAGGGGTTAGGCTCGAGAAAAATCTTTTAATTAAAAAGCCTTTTGTAGAAATAGTTTTTTCAATTGATTACTTTAAAAGCACCCTAACTAACATATACACAAATAAAAAAATAACACGTATTAAACACGTATTATTATTGAGCTTACCCCCCATAAACCAACTCTAGGCTTGACAGTCTAGTGTTGGTCTGACAGTGTTGGTCTGACAGTGTTGGTCTGACAGTGTTGGTCTGACAGGCTAGTGTTGGTCTGACAGTGTTGGTCTGACAGTCTAGTGTTGGTCTGACAGTGTTGGTCTGACAGTGTTGGTCTGACAGTGTTGGTCTGACAGTGTTGGTCTGACAGTGTTGGTCTGACAGGCTAGTGTTCGTCTGACAGTGTTGGTCTGACAGTGTTGGTCTGACAGTGTTGGTCTGACAGTGTTGGTCTGACAGTGTTGGTCTGACAGTCTAGTGTTGGTCTGACAGTGTTGGTCTGACAGTGTTGGTCTGACAGTCTAGTGTTGGTCTGACAGTGTTGGTCTGACAGTGTTGGTCTGACAGTGTTGGTCTGACAGTCTAGTGTTGGTCTGACAGTCTAGTGTTGGTCTGACAGTGTTGGTCTGACAGTCTAGTGTTGGTCTGACAGTGTTGGTCTGACAGTGTTGGTCTGGCAGTCTAGTGTTGGTCTGACAGTGTTGGTCTGACAGTGTTGGTCTGACAGTGTTGGTCTGACAGTGTTGGTCTGACAGTGTTGGTCTGACAGTCTAGTGTTGGTCTGACAGTGTTGGTCTGACAGTGTTGGTCTGACAGTGTTGGTCTGACAGTGTTGGTCTGTCAGTGTTGGTCTGTCAGTGTTGGTCTGACAGTGTTGGTCTGACAGTGTTGGTCTGACAGTGTTGGTCAGACAGTGTTGGTCTGACAGTCTAGTGTTGGTCTGACAGTGTTGGTCTGACAGTGTTGGTCTGACAGTGTTGGTCTGACAGTCTAGTGTTGGTCTGACAGTCTAGTGTTGGTCTGACAGTGTTGGTCTGACAGTGTTGGTCTGACAGTGTTGGTCTGACAGTGTTGGTCTGACAGTCTAGTGTTGGTCTGACAGTCTAGTGTTGGTCTGACAGTGTTGGTCTGACAGTATTGGTCTGACAGTGTTGGTCAGACAGTCTAGTGTTGGTCTGACAGTGTTGGTCTGACAGTCTAGTGTTGGTCTGACAGTCTAGTGTTGGTCTGACAGTGTTGGTCTGACAGTGTTGGTCTGACAGTCTAGTGTTGGTCTGACAGTCTAGTGTTGGTCTGACAGTCTAGTGTTGGTCTGACAGTGTTGGTCTGACAGTGTTGGTCTGACAGTGTTGGTCTGACAGTGTTGGTCTGACAGTGTTGGTCTGACAGTCTAGTGTTGGTCTGACAGTGTTGGTCTGACAGTGTTGGTCAGACAGTCTAGTGTTGGTCTGACAGTGTTGGTCTGACAGTCTAGTGTTGGTCTGACAGTGTTGGTCTGACAGTGTTGGTCTGACAGTGTTGGTCTGACAGTGTTGGTCTGACAGTGTTGGTCTGACAGTGTTGGTCTGACAGTGTTGGTCTGACAGTGTTGGTCTGACAGTGTTGGTCTGACAGTGTTGGTCTGACAGTGTTGGTCAGACATTCTAGTGTTTGTCTACCCCTTATCCTAAATGTCAAAGTAAATTACAACCACCCTAACTCACCAGCCTAACCCTAACCCTAACCCACCACCCTAACCCACCACCCTAACCCACCACCCTAACCCACCAACCTAACCCACCACCCTAACCCACCACCCTAACCCACCACCCTAACCCACCACCCTAACCCACCACCCTAACCCAACACCCTAACCCACCAATCTAACCCACCACCCTAACCCACCACCCTAACCCTAACCCTAACCCACCACCCTAACCCACCACCCTAACCCACCACCCTAACCCACCACCCTAACCCACCAACCTAACCCACCACCCTAACCCACCACCCTAACCCAACACCCTAACCCACCACCCTAACCCACCACCCTAACCCACTAACCTAACCCACCACCCTAACCCACCACCCTAACCCACCACCCTAACCCTAACCCACCAACCTAACCCTAACCGTTGAGCGTTAGTACCACCTACCTTAGGCGTAACATGCAATAACTATCATGTAAATGTACGAGAAAAATTGATATTATTGACAGCTATCATTGAAATTCTAATAGGTAAAGAACATCAGATATTCAAATGAGATCAAATGAGATCAAATACTAAATTTTAATGATTAGAGAAAGGCAATTAATTCTAACCCTAACTTAATCACAAGTTTTTTAACAAACTTGTTTACCCTAAAACGTTCCCAACAATTTAACATGTATTATTGTACTTACCTTTACCCATACATTTTTTATCAGATAAAATTATATTTAACTCAAAAGCTAATCCACAAATGTAGCACATATTCTAATTTAACTCTAAGCTATCCCCTAAATGCAACACGCATTCTGGATTAACTTGACACTAGCCGTCAAGTCTAGCATACAGTGCCGGCGCCAGGTTATTTAGCGCCCTGGGCAAAACTTATTGACCCCTTCCTAGCAATTTTATTTTTCGGTCCACACACACACACACACATATATATATATATATATATATATATATATATATATATATATATATATATATATATATATATATATATATATATATATATATATATATATATATATATATATATATATATATATATATATATATATATATATATATATATTTTTTTTTTTTTTTTTTTGCGCCCCCCTATGGATAGCGCCCTAGCGCCTAGTTCGCTTTATAGGTAGCGCCGGCCTTGCTAACATACATTACAATTTAACACTAACGCTAACCCAGATTTAGCATGCCATCTAACTTCAACCTTTTAAAATCTTCAGCTAGAGATGCTTGTCAAGGACGATAAATCAAGCGTGACGGTGAGGGAACTAACCCGCAAGCTGTCCCGCACTGAGGCACAACTGGCTATGTGGCAAGGTCTCAAGTTAGGCGAGTCATACACGAGTACAGAGCTACCCCACACAGAGGCCGAGGCGACCCTGAGCTTCTTGAGGGACTCCTTCTATCACTTCTTAACTGATCGTTCGGGCAGTGAGGAGCATCTGCGCGCCATGATCAAAATCTTGCACTACTCAGACGTCCAGCTGCTCAAAATATGGAGAGGTTTAGAGGAGTTTAAACATTTGGATCGGAAAAAAGTTTTGGATAAAACAGAAATCGTAGAGGGTGAGAGAAAAAATAATAAAAAGTTTAGAAAGCAAATTACCAAGTAGAAATTAGAGGACAGTTACGTCACCAAGTAGAAATTAGATGACAGTCACGTCACCAAGTAGAAATTAGAGGGCAGTCACGTCACCAAGTAGAAATTAGAGGACAGTCACGTCACCAAGTAGAAATTAGAGGACAGTTACGTCACCAAGTAGAAATTAGAGGACAGTCACGTCACCAAGTAGAAATTAGAGGACAGTTACGTCACCAAGTAGAAATTAGAGGACAGTCACGTCACCAAGTAGAAATTAGAGGACAGTCACGTCACCAAGTAGAAATTAGAGGACAGTCACGTCACCAAGTAGAAATTAGAGGACAGTCACGTCACCAAGTAGAAATTAGAGGACAGTCACGTCACCAAGTAGAAATTAGATGACAGTCACGTCACCAAGTAGAAATTAGAGGACAGTTACGTCACCAAGTAGAACTTAGAGGACAGTCACGTCACCAAGTAGAAATTAGAGGACAGTCACGTCACCAAGTAGAAATTAGAGGACAGTCACCTCACCAAGTAGAAATTAGAGGACAGTCACGTCACCAAGTAGAAATTAGAGGACAGTCACGTCACCAAGTAGAAATTAGAGGACAGTCACGTCACCAAGTAGAAATTAGAGGACAGTCACCTCACCAAGTAGACATTTTTAGGAATCGAAAATACCGTAAAGAACTATTTCAAGTCACCGAGAATCACTCAAAATTTGATAAAATCAAGAAAATAAATTCTTACACCTCAGCAAAAATTGCCGTTAACCAAAATAAAACGATACTAAAGTTATCGTGTTATCTATCTATCTATCTATCTATCTATCTATCTATCTATCTATCTATCTATCTATCTATCTATCTATCTATCTATCTATCTATCTATCTATCTATCTATCTATCTATCTACCTATCTATCTATCTATCTATCTATCTATCTATCTATCTATCTATCTATCTATCTATCTATCTATCTATCTATCTATCTATCTATCTATCTATCTATCTATCTATCTATCTATCTATCTATCTATCTATCTATCTATCTATCTATCTATCTATCTATCTATCTATCTATCTATCTATCTATCTATCTATCTATCTATCTATCTATCTATCTATCTATCTATCTATCTATCTATCTATCTATCTATCTATCTATCTATCTATCTATCTATCTATCTATCTATCTATCTATCTATCTATCTATCTATCTATCTATCTATCTATCTATCTATCTATCTATCTATCTATCTATCTATCTATCTATCTATCTATCTATCTATCTATCTATCTATCTATCTATCTATCTATCTATCTATCTATCTATCTATCTATCTATCTACCTATCTATCTATCTCTCTATATCTATTTATCTATATATCTATCTATCTATCTATCTATCGACTACTAAAATTCAAGTTGTTTACAAGATTGTATATTTAATTTTTTGTTTGTCTGTTCCGTTAGACGAGAGCATCTGCACTATTTTTAGAACTGTAAAATACGTATTTATGAAGATAATAATATTCTTCTACCCAAAAATATTATTCACAAATTTATGTAAAGAAGATAATTAATTTATTGATATATTCATTTATAGAAACACCTCTTTAATCATAATAGTTCAGAACAAATACTTTATTTTCACATAAAATTACAATACTCTAACCGGCTAAGTGACGTCACTAGATTTATTTACTTATTTTCACAACAAAAGTGGCGGCTTCCATGAAATACCATGTTGCCCATTGAAAAGTTTAAAGACAAAAACATGTTGTCTGAGGCTTGGCGGGACATGTGGCAGGTGGAGTTGAGTTCATCTGCTTCAGTGACCTCAGCATAAGTAGGGATATTATGTTCACACTCATGGTCAACCGAAATTGGTGTTTTATAAGATAAAAACTTGTAGTCTGAGCTGTGGTGTCTTTTTTAATGTGGCGTCTGGCTATTATGACGATGTGTTTGATAGTGGGGAGGGGTAGGGTAAAGATAAAAATCGTCAAACAAACTAGATGTCTTCTATGCATGACCCCCGAAACACACTTATCCAAGGATAACAGGTAGCCTAATATCGTTTAAATTTGAGTAAGGATTTCAATATAATTTATTATTATACAACAAATGATATAAAAGCAAGTTGAATTTTGTCCGGCTGCCTGTTAAGAAAAAATAGATATTGTACTTGCGAATATTTTTCAGAGGAATTTTTCTTGCCAAACTGCAGTTCGAGAAAACTATAGCCATTTCAATCATCGCTTTTAACGGAACAAAGGCTGGCTTAGACTATTAAATTAGAGCATAGCAGTTATTTTTTTTTACAAAAATATTGAATACTTACAAGTAGTATTAAGGCAAAGCGTTAATGAGAAAACGTTAAGAAAAGGAATTATAAAAAAGTTTCGATGAAAGATCCATGACGGTTAAATCTAATATGTTCAAAGTTGATTGATGGGGCTGAATGTTCGTCCACACCACAACCCACAGAACTTAATGTTTGGAAGCCTTGGGTGTATTATTGAAATAGAACAAACCTCGGAGACTGCCCAGGTGCCAAGGGCATCGCAGGGCGATCTTGGTAACCACTGGTTACACAACCAGTAACCACTGGTTACACAACCTCAGGGTTGCCGGATACGGCACCTGGTTCGGTTAAATTAACGTATGCCGTGTGCTACAATATTTTGTGTTCTCTTAATAACGAATGTAGGCGTCAAAGTGTTCATGGGGGGGGGGGGGGGTGCTTCAGGTCACTCTAATGTCGGATGCCGGTGGACGAAACTGATTCGCCTTAGTCAACAATTACAGAAGCCCATTATTTCCATAGTGTGTAGCACTCTTTAAAATGAACGTAAGCGCCACACGAGAAAGTATGGTAGGTGGTTCAAGTATATCTTAGAAAAGAGTGCAAAACAGATTTTAGTAAGTGTCGATACCAGTTATACGATCTACCATATATATATATATAAATATATATATATATATATATATATATATATATATATATATATATATATATATATATATATATACTCGTTAATTTAATTTCAACTTAACGGACTAGGAATCCGAAAATAATATTTGGTACGAACATATAATATCTGGACTTTTACAGGGCCCCATTTCTCAAATTTGCTGGATCATGTTTTGCAAGCGTTTAATGGCTTCAAACTAAAGCGAATGTTTGCATTACTCGAATTGTTAATGGCTGTGTTTGACATGGAACAGCTCGGGTCCACCTTATTGACGCACAAATATTGAGCCTGCTGATTAACACACTAGTTTAGTGCCGCGCTAACTAAATCATCCGATCATCGGTATTGATCTTTTTAGTTTGGATATTTTCTAGAAAGCGCTCGAAACATTTTGCCTTAGTTTCTCGCAATACAAGTTGTATCCGACAATAATTACTTTGGCACATCCTGGTTTTTTTTCATAGACTGCTACATAAAGGTAAGTCGTGATAAATAGTTCCAGGTTTCAAACGACTTAGCCATACTTTGTTACCGTATGGCTTAGCGACACTTTGTTGCCGTATGAGACGACAGCGTACAACCAGGCCACAAGATATGGCCCATGCTACCTATAGGTGTTGTCCCTAACCCTAACCCTGCTACCTATAGGTGTTGTCCCTAACCCTAACCCTGCTACCTATAGGTGTTGTCCCTAACCCTGCTACCTATAGGTGTTGTCCCTAACCCTAACCATGCTACCTATATGTGTTGTCCCTAACCCTAATCCTGCTACCTATAGGTGTTGTCCCTAACCCTAACCCTGTTACCTATAGGTGTTGTCCCTAACCCTGACCCTGCTACCTATATGTGTTGTCCCTAACCCTAACCCTGCTACCTATAGGTGTTGTCCCTAACCCAGCTACCTATAGGTGTTGTCCCTAACCCTAACCCTGCTACCTATAGGTGTTGTCCCTAACCCTAACCCTGCTACCTATATGTGTTGTCCCTAACCCTAACCCTGCTACCTATAGGTGTTGTCCCTAACCCTAACCCTCCTACCTATATGTGTTGTCCCTAACCCTAACCCTGCTACCAATAGGTGTTGTCCCTAACCCTGCTACCTATAGGTGTTGTCCCTAACCCTAACCCTGCTACCTATAGGTGTTGTCCCTAACCCTAACCCTGCTACCTGTAGGTGTTGTCCCTAACCCTAACCCTGCTACCTATAGGTGTTGTCCCTAACCCTAACCCTGCTACCTATAGGTGTTGTCCCTAACCCTAACCCTGCTACCTATAGCTGTTGTCCCTAACCCTAACCCTGCTACCTATAGGTGTTGTCCCTAACCCTAACCCTGCTACCTATAGGTGTTGTCCCTAACCCTAACCCTGCTACCTATAGGTGTTGTCCCTAACCCTGCTACCTATAGGTGTTGTCCCTAACCCTAACCCTGCTACCTATAGGTGTTGTCCCTAACCCTAACCCTGCTACCTATAGGTGTTGTCCCTAACCCTAACCCTGCTACCTATAGGTGTTGTCCCTAACCCTAACCCTGCTACCTATAGGTGTTGTCCCTAACCCTGCTACCTATAGGTGTTGTCCCTAACCCTGCTACCTATAGATGTTGTCCCTAACCCTAACCCTGCTACCTATAGGTGTTGTCCCTAACCCTAACCCTGCTACCTATAGGTGTTGTCCCTAACCCTGCTACCTATAGGTGTTGTCCCTAACCCTAACCCTGCTACCTATAGGTGTTGTCCCTAACCCTAACCCTGCTACCTATAGGTGTTGTCCCTAACCCTGCTACCTATAGGTGTTGTCCCTAACCCTAACCCTGCTACCTATAGGTGTTGTCCCTAACCCTGCTACCTATAGGTGTTGTCCCTAACCCTAACCCTGCTACCTATAGGTGTTGTCCCTAACCCTGCTACCTATAGGTGTTGTCCCTAACCCTGCTACCTATAGGTGTTGTCCCTAACCCTAACCCTGCTACCTATAGGTGTAGTCCCTAACCCTGCTACCTATAGGTGTTGTCCCTAACCCTAACCCTGCTACCTATATGTGTTGTCCCTAACCCTAACCCTGCTACCTATAGGTGTTGTCCCTAACCCTAACCCTGCTACCTATAGGTGTTGTCCCTAACCCTGCTACCTATAGGTGTTGTCCCTAACCCTAACCATGCTACCTATAGGTGTTGTCCCTAACCCTAACCATGCTACCTATAGGTGTTGTCCCTAACCCTAACCCTGCTACCTATAGGTGTTGTCCCTAACCCTGCTACCTATAGGTGTTGTCCCTAACCCTAACCCTGCTACCTATAGGTGTTGTCCCTAACCCTAACCCTGCTACCTATAGGTGTTGTCCCTAACCCTAACCCTGCTACCTATAGGTGTTGTCCCTAACCCTGCTACCTATAGGTGTTGTCCCTAACCCTGCTACCTATAGGTGTTGTCCCTAACCCTAACCCTTCTACCTATAGGTGTTGTCCCTAACCCTGCTACCTATAGGTGTTGTCCCTAACCCTAACCCTGCTACCTATAGGTGTTGTCCCTAACCCTAACCCTGCTACCTATAGGTGTTGTCCCTAACCCTAACCCTGCTACCTATAGGTGTTGTCCCTAACCCTAACCCTGCTACCTATAGGTGTTGTCCCTAACCCTAACCCTGCTACCTATAGGTGTTGTCCCTAACCCTAACCCTGCTACCTATAGGTGTTGTCCCTAACCCTAACCCTGCTACCTATAGGTGTTGTCCCTAACCCTAACCCTGCTACCTATAGGTGTTGTCCCTAACCCTAACCCTGCTACCTATAGGTGTTGTCCCTAACCCTGCTACCTATAGGTGTTGTCCCTAACCCTAACCCTTCTACCTATAGGTGTTGTCCCTAACCCTAACCATGCTACCTATAGGTGTTGTCCCTAACCCTAACCCTGCTACCTATAGGTGTAGTCCCTAACCCTGCTACCTATAGGTGTTGTCCCTAACCCTAACCCTGCTACCTATAGGTGTTGTCCCTAACCCTAACCCTGCTACCTATAGGTGTTGTCCCTAACCCTAACCCTGCTACCTATAGGTGTTGTCCCTAACCCTAACCCTGCTACCTATAGGTGTTGCCCCTAACCCTAACCCTGCTACCTATAGGTGTTGTCCCTAACCCTAACCCTGCTACCTATAGGTGTTGTCCCTAACCCTAACCCTGCTACCTATAGGTGTTGTCCCTAACCCTAACCCTGCTACCTATAGGTGTTGTCCCTAACCCTGCTACCTATAGGTGTTGTCCCTAACCCTGCTACCTATAGGTGTTGTCCCTAACCCTAACCCTGCTACCTATAGGTGTTGTCCCTAACCCTAACCCTGCTACCTATAGGTGTTGTCTCTAACCCTAACCCTGCTACCTATAGGTGTTGTCCCTAACCCTAACCCTGCTACCTATAGGTGTTGTCCCTAACCCTGCTACCTATAGGTGTTGTCCCTAACCCTGCTACCTATAGGTGTTGTCCCTAACCCTAACCCTGCTACCTATAGGTGTTGTCCCTAACCCTAACCCTGCTACCTATAGGTGTTGTCTCTAACCCTAACCCTGCTACCTATAGGTGTTGTCCCTAACCCTAACCATGCTACCTATAGGTGTTGTCCCTAACCCTAACCCTGCTACCTATAGGTGTTGTCCCTAACCCTGCTACCTATAGGTGTTGTCCCTAACCCTGCTACCTATAGGTGTTGTCCCTAACCCTAACCATGCTACCTATAGGTGTTGTCCCTAACCCTAACCCTGCTACCTATATGTGTTGTCCCTAACCCTAACCCTGCTACCTATAGGTGTTGTCCCTAACCCTAACCATGCTACCTATAGGTGTTGTCCCTAACCCTAACCCTGCTACCTATAGGTGTAGTCCCTAACCCTGCTACCTATAGGTGTTGTCCCTAACCCTAACCCTGCTACCTATAGGTGTTGTCCCTAACCCTAACCCTGCTACCAATAGGTGTTGTCCCTAACCCTGCTACCTATAGGTGTTGTCCCTAACCCTAACCCTGCTACCTATAGGTGTTGTCCCTAACCCTAACCATGCTACCTATAGGTGTTGTACCTAACCCTAACCCTGCTACCTATAGGTGTTGTCCCTAACCCTGCTACCTATAGGTGTTGTCCCTAACCCTAACCATGCTACCTATAGGTGTTGTCCCTAACCCTAACCATGCTACCTATAGGTGTTGTCCCTAACCCTAACCCTGCTACCTATAGGTGTTGTCCCTAACCCTAACCATGCTACCTATAGGTGTTGTACCTAACCCTAACCCTGCTACCTATAGGTGTTGTCCCTAACCCTGCTACCTATAGGTGTTGTCCCTAACCCTAACCCTGCTACCTATATGTGTTGTCCCTAACCCTAACCCTGCTACCTATAGGTGTTGTCCCTAACCCTAACCCTGCTACCTATAGGTGTTGTCCCTAACCCTGCTACCTATAGGTGTTGTCCCTAACCCTAACCATGCTACCTATAGGTGTTGTCCCTAACCCTAACCATGCTACCTATAGGTGTTGTCCCTAACCCTAACCCTGCTACCTATAGGTGTTGTCCCTAACCCTGCTACCTATAGGTGTTGTCCCTAACCCTAACCATGCTACCTATAGGTGTTGTCCCTAACCCTAACCATGCTACCTATAGGTGTTGTACCTAACCCTAACCCTGCTACCTATAGGTGTTGTCCCTAACTCTTTTTTTCTCCCTCTCTTGTTGCTATGTCCATATATTGTGTTGTTGTTTGGTCGATGTATTTGGTTGTTTTGTCCATATATTGTGTGTTGTTTTGTTCCCGTATTGTGTTGTTGATTTGTCCATGTATTGTGTTGTTGTTTTGTCCATGTATTATATTTTTTTATGTTGTTCAATACGGGTTTCATAGGAGGAGCGCATTGTTTGTCTATGTGAATTGGATAACTTACAGACCATAGTGTACAATAGAACATAAAATATAATCACGTAAAGTAGAACATCAGAAAACCTTCATTTTACCAAGAAATATAGCAACCGAAACGCTAGTTTATTTTTCTGGATTTAGGTGTGATTGTATTTAGTCATTCATAACGTTATTTGAGTCCGTAGGATTAAAGATTAACTGTAAGGTTGAACTTATTATTGAACTTTTGTTTTAAATGGACAGTACGAAAAATAGTTCATTTGATGTTTTTTCTTAAACTCTGTCACATTTAGTAACCAAATATAACCTAAAATGGGAGTGGACAATGAATACTTACAATTAGAATACTTTTTACTACATGTTCCAGCGCACGCTCTTTGTATAAAGAGGGAGTGACTACCGCTCGACTTTCTCGTATATTTTTATACTAGCCTTCGGTACCTGTTATAAAATAGTTATTGCTCAAAACGCAAAGTGCTTTATTACTCGTTGAACGATATTATTGACAAAGCAAAGAAATAACCAAATAGCTAAAAATCTGACACATATAAAATGGCATAGGCTACCAATACCTATTAGAAACATTAAAACCAAATTATATACATTCTAAGTCAACACAACACCATATTCAATGCATACACTGATTAAGAGACTGTTCAATGGTATTTATGTTATTTTTAAAAGTAATTTTGTTAGTTTTGGCCAAGAAAACTGTATGAGTTTTCATACGTCTTGATAAGTAGATCTATTGATCTAAATCAAATTTGAATGAAATAGTTCATTTCTGCATATTCTACAATTTTAAGATGTGGGAAGTGAATCTTATTGAAGATAACGTCATTATTATTGTGTATCATTTACGACATTCGATGTTTAATTCTATTTTTACCAGCTTTTATTTAACTTGCTTCCTCTGTCTGTCAGTCGACAGTCTGTCTATCTGTCGTCATAGATCGAAAGGCTCGAGTTAAATTTCGGACACTTCTAACTGACAGATTCGTTTCAAAATTGGCACGTGGGTCAATACATGGAGACAATGCAATCGGAAATTAAATTTGACTTAATTAGATGCCCAATTTATTTTTTATAGATTAATTACTCATCCAACTATTCCGCACTATTATACGCGCGTTATCATGTTCATTAGGTACGCAATAGTTTTAGTCATGCAACTCTATTGTAAATATTTTAAATTTAAAGTATTGAAAAAAATTCATTAAAAACGTTTTAATATCAAGATTTTATGTAATAATCCACTAAAAAGTAGAAAATAAATGATTCTTTAAATATATAGTAATGACTACCATTTAAATAACTATTTAAAAAAGCTTGGGTTTCTTCCTAAATATTAGTGAAGGTATTCAATAAATAATAGTGACCCACGCTTTTCTTTATAGCTATTTAAATAGTAGTGTATTATTATATATTTAAAGAAAATCATTTTTATTACAAGCTTGCTTCCTCTGTCTGTTGTCAGTCTGTTTATCTGTCGTCATAGATCGAAACGCTCGAGCGAAATTTCGGGGACTTCTCACTGACAGATTCGTTTCAAAGTTAGCACGCGTGTAATAAAGTGACCCACAAAATAGTAGTAGTAGTATTATAGATTTAGAGAAAATCATTTATTTTCTAATTTAATGCGTTTTTACATAAAATGTTGTTAATAAATCGTGTTTTGTGATTTTTTGTGTCCTACATTCAATGACGCCTTTGGTGTTGTGTACTTTCCGTAGTTGTGACATGTGAAATCATTGTTTTAGTGTTACTTGTATCTTCTCTAGAGCGTTCTTGTCTTTTCCGGTTTCATAGTTAAAAATTTGTTTCTACATTCCAATATGTCTTTATTTTTATTTCCCTTCTTTAAATAAAATGTAGTTTATACATTTAATTCATATAACATATTATTTTCAACAATAATCCGTATCATTAAGTTCTCCATACATCGTGGAAGATACTGATCCCATAGTCCAGGAACAGAGGGGGGGGGGGGGAGAAGTGCGCACATGAGCTTTATATATATATTAGGGTACCAGTAATCGGGCTATATAAAAATAGTATTAATATTTTATCTATTAAACAATGTTTGAACATAGTCGGTGATTAAGAACTAAATATTTTTATTGAAATGTAATTCAACATAACACTTTTATTTTTTTCTTATTTGAATCAAGTGAGATCCATGCACCTGATGCTATAAGATCTCAGTGTAATTTACGTCTTTTTTTTTGTTGCCGCGTTGTATCCAAAAACAGTTATTTTACAGCAAAACGTTTTTGACACTATACCGACAATGAGCTAAAAATGAAGATAGAAACAGAATCATTTGTTATTTTGTGTTGTCGAATTTAGATATTTGATTTCTGTTTCATTAGCGTTTTGGTTTTCTTGATGCCGCGGTTTTTTTTTTTTCTAGGCAGTTCTCCTGGCGATATTTCATTAGCGTTTTGGTTTTCTTGATGCCGCGGTTTTTTTTTCTAGGCAGTTCTCCTGGCGATATTTCATTAATGTTAAATGAGCCTCTGAACTACGCCTCAAATTGTTCTTATTTTGTTCCTCAGAGAATAGAAGCCCACATTTTGCACTATTTTGTTCCTTAGAGAATAGAAGCCCACATTTTGCACTATTTTGTTCCTCAGAGAATAGAAGCCCACATTTTGCACTATTTTGTTCCTCAGAGAATAGAAGCCCACATTTTGCACTATTTTGTTCCTCAGAGAATAGAAGCCCACATTTTGCACTATTTTGTTCCTCAGAGAATAGAAGCCCACATTTTGCACTATTTTGTTCCTCAGAGAATAGAAGCCCACATTTTGCACTATTTTGTTCCTCAGAGAATAGAAGCCCACATTTTGCACTATTTTGTTCCTCAGAGAATAGAAGCCCACATTTTGCACTATTTTGTTCCTCAGAGAATAGAAGCCCACATTTTGCACTATTTTGTTCCTCAGAGAATAGAAGCCCACATTTTGCACTATTTTGTTCCTCAGAGAATAGAAGCCCACATTTTGCACTATTTTGTTCCTCAGAGAATAGAAGCCCACATTTTGCACTATTTTGAATAACTCTTAAAGGTTCAAATTTTCGAATAGTCTTCTGAAACATCGCACTGCCTGCCCAGAGTTTGTTCCAGGCATCTCTTCGGGGACACACCGACCCCCCCCCCCTCAAAAAAATTTCATATGACCCCCACCCCACACCCTAACCCTAACCCCAACACCTCATTTGTTTTCGAGCCTACCCTAACCCTTGCACTAACTCTAGTGCTAAGTACAGTTATTTATTTTTCCTTTGTAAATTACTTGTAACAGCATATGTCTATTTTTTCATAGCTCAGTATGTACAACGAGACTAGCTGTGAGAAATATTTTTTCATGGCCTCGAGTCATCCGTCCATCATCTTCAGCAATCTTAACCTCGTCGTTTTTATCTGCGTCCTTCTCTCCATCTTGGCGAGCCTGACTGCCTTCACCAATTTCACCGTTACTCTCTCCATGATTTACTCCTTCATCTACTACAGGAGCCATGGGCTCACGGGTCGGGTTCAAAGTTCAAGCGAGTTTACTTTAGCCAAGCTTTTGATAACGTCTATGGCAGCAAACGACGGCTTTATCGGGGCTGTGCTGATGCCTCTCTCAATGATGGAAATTTTACACAACGGCAAATGGTTGGTGCAACGTCATTGGTGTCTGCTCGTTATTTCTCTAAACATGATCTTCTGCACTGTCTCCATCTACCACGTCCTGAGTCTAGCACTAGACCGTTACCTTGCTGTTTGTCGACCCCTTCTTTACAGGATCCTGTCGATTAGGGTTAGGGTTGCTGTCATCTGCTGTTGTTGGCTTGTCCCAATCCTCTCCTATACCATCGCCATTAGTGTTGATGTGTTTTCTACAGTTAGACAACCGTCTGGCCAATGCCATATTTGCTACACCTCCTTTAGTGTACGCTTCTATACAGTGGCGGTAGTTGTTGCCTTTTACATCCCTTTCATTGTCATCCTCATTCTGTACATCATCATCTTCCATAAAATTCGACAAGTGACTAACTACCAAGAAAGAAAGAGATTGAATATAAAGAAACAAATCTCTTTTCACTTTTCTCTTAGTAAATGTTTACACAGGACCAGTTGTGAAGCTAACTCGAAGATCTCGGAAACTGGCAGAAAAATTTCTTGTGTTGAGGTCACGTGTAGGACACACAATGAAGCGAAACATCTACCAACAGATCCACCCAAAGAACCACCAACACAAGTGCGTCTTATGTCGGGTTCACCCAGAAAATCCTCCAAGGCTTGCCGCACCATTGGGATGGTCATTGTTTGTTTCACATTGTGCTGGCTGCCCTTTATCATTTACCTGCCTGTCAAGGGAAACCAAAACCTGGACATTCCATTGTGGGTCAGTATTGTCACCTGTTGGCTCGCCTACCTCAACTCCACCATTAATCCATTTCTGTTTTACACCAACAGAAGCGTGCAGGATGCCATCAAGCTACTTCTGTGTGCTAAAAATTAAACACTTTAAAGTTAGGGTTTACAAGGCAGAGGAGCTGCCAGTGCAATTAAATCCCCAAAGTTCTTGATATATATATATATATATATATATATATATATATATATATATATATATATATATATATATATATATATATATATATATATATATATATATATATATATATATATATATATATTTATTTATTTATTTATTTATTTATTTATTTATTTATTTATTTATTTATTTATTTATTTATTTATTTATTTATTTATTTATTTATTTATTTATTTATTTATTTATTTATTTATTTATTTATTTATTTATTTATTTATTTATTTATTTATTTATTTATTTATTTATTTATTTATTTATTTATTTATTTATTTATTTATTTATTTATTTATTTATTTATTTATATATATATATATACATATTTATATACATATATATATATATATATATATATATATATATATATATATATATATATATATATATATATATATATATATATATATATATATATGTATGTTTGTGTGTATGTGTGTGTATGTGATATGAATTGATAATTATATTGAAGACGGCATTGCCGTTGAGGTGACCTTATGTTAACTATCGGTATGGTCACTTTGTGTACGCCTGTATCGAAGAAAGTGAATTTTTATTATTATTTGTTGCCAATCAACCATCTCTTTAGCTTTAGAAATACAATGATAAGTATAGATTGCTTTCATTTGTGAAAAGAAAATGTCATCACATGAACGCATTGCTTTATCACCTTATGTAAAGGCTTCATTTTTTAGAATATTGTCTAAGATTTAAAAAGTTTGAATTTTTCGAATAAACATACATAATCATTGTCAAATCATATTTTTTTATAGAACAAAAATAATAAATATTAATATGAGTGGAACTAATGAAATTAATTAATTAATTGTTTTAATGCAGGGGAAGTATATACAAATTAGATATTGCTGCTACATGAGTATATAAATTTAAGAAAAACTTTTTTTTAAAATTTAGTTTGTGATCGTTTTTTGTTCATATGAATATTTAAAAATATTTATTTTAAAAGAAATCAATCCATGTACTATAAATTTAACATGGCTTACCATTTTGCGTAAACATTTGCGTTGATGTTCGGGTTCAGTTTAGGATTACTGGTTACCGTTAAACTTAGGGTTATGGTTATGGTTAGGGTTAAGGGTTAGAGTTAGGGTTAGGTTAAGGGTTATGGTTAGGGTTAGGTTAAGGCACGGGTTCCCAACCTGGGGGTCGCGACCCCCCTGGGGGTCGCGAAGGTCTTTCTGGGGGGTCGCCAACTGCTATACTAAACCTTAGTAATTTGAAACAAAACATAAATATTTAGAAGAATTTTTTAAATTCGGCTTCATTAACATCACTGGAAATGTAATAGAGAAGAAACAAAGCGCACTGTACAAAGTTGTTCTCAGTCACGAATCTATGAAATCTTTAAAACTAAAACGTCATTTGAGACGAGTCATTCGGAGCACACCAAAAAATATATGGAGTTCTTTCGTCGGTAAGAAGCTAGCTGCAAACGCCAGAGACTTGATCGAACAGGAAGTTTTCACCAGCATTAGTGCAAGCATCAAATGAAGTCGCGATAGAAAATGCCAAGCAAAAAAAAAAAAAAACAAAAAAAAAAACAATAGGAGAAAATCTCATCAAACGCTGCATGTACGTAAATGTTAAATAACACATTTTTATTAAAATTAAGCTTTCACCATTGTTTGCTTTTCAAGTTGATATATCAACAGACGTGAGTTCGTGTTTGCAGTTGCTGGTCTGTGTCTATATTCATTCGGATGATAGCAAAGAAGAGTTGCTCTTTTGTGAAGATAGCAGCATGGAGAAAATAAATACCTTTTTTGAAACTGGATGATTAAAATGGGTTAGAACGGCTGTGGGGGTTTGTACGGATGGTGCGCCATCTATGTTTAGCTCAAAATCGGCCTTTCAGAAAACAGAAAAGGTTTAGCTCCCTAACCACTGCCCTAACCAATCGACACCAAGAGTCCATTGCTAGTATAAGTCGTAAATTATATAAAATCTGGAGCGTTCAAAGAACTGAGCAAAAACATTAATATAGATCACGAGGTTCTTCTCTTCTACACTACAGTACGCTGGCTGTCAAACGAAATGTTGTAAATTGTGTTTTTGAATTGAAATCTGAAATCAAATTGTTCTTGGAAGTGCAAAGGAAACAAGACTTCTTGGTATACTTAAAACGACATAGAGTGGTTGGAGAGAGTATCATACCTAGCAGATGTGTTCGAACATCAAGATAAGCTTACCTGAAGCTTTAGGGAAAATGAACGAATATTATAACTTTCCATGATAATCTCGGGGCATTTTTATCAAAGCTGCGAAATCGGTAAAGAAAATAAATCTTGGAAATGTTGTAAATTTGAGAAACTCTGCGGTGTGGTAGATGAATCTGGTGGTGAGATAATTAACATTTTGA